TGGGGGGCTGAGGCTGGGGGGCTGGGTGGTTGGGTGGCTGGATGGTTGAGTGGCTGAGTAGCTTGGTGGCTGGGGAGCTGGGTGGCTAGGTAGCTGGCTGAGTAGCTCAGTGGCTGGGTTGCTGGGTGGTTGGTGGCTGGATGGTTGAGTGGCTGAGTAGCTTGGTGGCTGGGGGGCTGGATGGCTAGGTGGCTGGTTGAGTAGCTCAGTGGCTGGGTAGCTGGGTGGTTATGTGGCTGGGTGGTTGGGTGGCTGAGTGGCTGGGGCCTGGATGAGTAGGTGCCCAGGGGGTTGGGTGGTTGGTTTATTGAATGGGTATGAGCACACATTCCTGAGATGACAGGCCTCCTTGTGAAAAAGTTCTTTCTGCTACTTACCCTAATTCTATCATTCTGTTCTCTTACAGTTCCCTGTGTTGGGCAAACTGGTGAGTCTTTTCTATGTCTTTTCCAATTCCAAATATGTCTCTGGCCAAAGATTGATTGATGGGCTGTTGGGTCCCCTGGAAACATCTTCAGAGCCACAGACTAGGCCCATTCCTCAGGAGTTCTGGCTGATGCTCAGGCAGAAATGAGACCTGGGACCCCACTGGGCTCAGGCTGAGGCTATTTCTAGGTGATTCAAGTCCCAGCAAATGGCTCTGGGCCTCATCTTATTCCCTTATAGCTGGCACTGGCCTCTGTCTCCTCCTCTCAGAGTGTCTCTGAAGCTCCTATATTCCCCACTGACCAAGGCCCTGGACTCCCTCCCATCCCCTGTATGTTCAGAGAAGGCAGCTTTGTCCCTCCACTACCTCTACCTTCCAATCCATCCTGACCTTCATGGGGCTTTCTGTCCAGTAGGAAAAATGCTGGCCTATGAACATCTTGACCGCCAAGGACATGTTCTGTGGTGCCAGGGTGGGATGAGGGGGTGCTGGGCAGAATTCAAACCCACGCTTCATGCTCTTAGAAAGAGCAGCAGTAAAAGCAAGGCTCAACATTCAGTTCTGTGTGAGCCTCCAGGGGAGGGGGCGGGTCCTAAGGATCCAGAGAGACCCAGGCAAAGGCAGGCTATGCTGGGGCTCCCCACCCATTCCTCCTCATTGCTCTCAGCTATCAGGCCTGGCTCCTGAGGCTGTCTGGGACCACTGGTGTCTGGCTTGTCAAAGAAGTATGCTCTGGGGACAGGCCCAGCCTGGGACTGCCCTGCAGATGGTGCTGGGCCCCCAGGAGCTCGTCTCTTGTCCACGTCAGGCCGTAGAATGCATTTTAGGAATGTAGACAGACAGAATGCATTTTAGGAATGAGGACAGACAGAACAGATCCCTCCCCAGGACGGTGGTGGGAATGAAACTCCCTGTAGGGGGGTGGGAATGGGGGCTGGGCCGGGAGAAAGTTGACAAGGAAAGCAGAAGGAGCGAGCCCGGGGGAGGGGGGGACACTCCCCACACCCTCCCCCGGCTTCTGGCTGGTAGGCCGTGTGCAGTTGTCCTCGGAGGTGGAAGCTGCACAGAGTTGCCCTGGGGGAGCAGGGGGTAAGTAGCCCATCTGGGGGGTGAGAATTGGGTCAAGGGGAAGGAGGTAGAACAACAATGGAAGGAATTCAACTCGACCCAAGCTTGGCGATGTTGGAAGGGCAGCTGGAAAGGAGCAGAGGAGGAGGTACAAGAGAAGAAGACCAGAGAGAAGGCGTGAGGAGAGCAGGGGAGGGGAGGGGAGCGGATTAGAGAGAAGAGGCAGGGAAGAGGAAGGAGGGCAAAGGAAAGCAGGGGACCAGCCCTGGTCTGGCACGAAGGCCTGGGGGACGGGGCGGCCACGCAGGTGCTGCCCAGGAGCCTCCATCCCCAGGGGAGGCCCGAGGCTGGGGGACGGAGGGAGAAAATGGGCTGATGGGACGTGCAGCTCCAGGGTGACCCCGGTCCTATGTCTCACAGGCTGGTTGTACCTCTGAACCTTGCCAGACCCCGTGTTTGAGGGCGACATCCTGACTCTGCAGTGCCAAGGATGGAAGAACACAGCCCTGTCCCAGGTCCAGTTCTACAAAGACAGGAAATTACTCCACGACCCGAAGGCCAAATGGTTTCTGCCCATGGGGACAGCAACACTGGAAAGCAGTGGCCAGTAGAGCCGCACTGGGAAGGTGACCTTCATCCCACATCTGGGCGCATAAAGGTCAGAGATGACCACGGTTCAAGTCCAAGGTGAGTCACCGGCTTCGGGGGGCCGGGGGGTGGTGGGGACTAGGGTGCTGCTCAGGGATCTGGTCTCTAGAGGTCAGCAGCCCTCCCTCTCGCTGCCCCTGATGCCGGGCCGACCACAGAGCCCTGAGATGTCCACCATGCTGTCCAAGTGCCCTGCCCCCGTGGGGTACATCCGGAGCCCGGGGAAGGAGGGGGATGCCCTGGGCCACAGAAGCACCCTGAACCAGCCCGGCCACTCAGTCCCAGAGACCCTGGGCCAGACCCTTCCCTTCTGGGGACCAGATGCCCTATAAGGCCCTCTGGCTCTGGCTCAGGATTCCAAAGGGGCTAGGGTGTAGTCATGGGATGAGAGGTGGGTCCTGGGGGACAATGACGGTGTCTGTCATGGGGCACAGGGCTGTGGCCTGGGATGTGCCCTAGCTTAGACCTCCGCCTCTGGGGACTCAGGGTTCAGGAGTCGCCCCTGAGCCTGGGCCTGCTTCTCCCCAGAGCTGTTCCCGCCTCCAGTGTTGAGCGCTGTCCCTTCTCCCGAGCTCCATGAGGGGAGCCCGCTGACCCTGAGATGCCAGACGGAGCTACACCCCCAGAGGTCGGCCTCGAGGCTCCTCTTCTCCTTCCACAAAGATGGCCGCACCTTGCAGAACTGGGGCCCCCACTCAGAGCTCTGCCTCCCAGAAGCCGGGTGGGAGCCTCTGGGCTTTACTGGCGCCAGACCAACCCTGAGGGTAGCAGGGTCCAGAAACAGAGCCCCCAGCTGAAGGTGAGGGTGCAAGGTAAGTGGGGAAGAAGGGGAGACACTCCCCAGGGATATGGGCTTCAGGTAATGGGACCCCTGGGCCTGTGGGGAGGGGTCCCCAGGGGAGGAGGGGCCAGGAGCCTGGGTGGTGTAGGTGAGCCTCCCGCCCCACATGCTGCCCCAGGTCCTGTGTCCCAGCCTCTGCTCACCCTGAGACCCAGGTCCACTGGCCTTGCTGTGGGGGATGTGGTGGAGCTCCTCTGTGAGACCCAGAATGGCTCCCCTCCAATCCTGTACTCATTCTACCTGACGAGAAGATCCTGGGGAACCACTGTGCTCCCCATGGAAGAGCCGCCTCCTTCCCCTTCACTGTGACGTCAGAACAGGATGCTGGTAGCTACTCCTGCCAGGCCGAGAACAATGTCTCCAAAGAGACAAGTGAGCCCAAGACACTGTCCCTGGCTGGTACGTCTTGTCCCCCACATGGGCTCTGAGCCCCAGCAAGCTGGCAGGGGTCAGGTCTCACCCCTCTGTGTACCCGCCACCCACACCTTGCACTGCATGAGTGAGATGGACCCTGCTTGGGCTATCTGCCCACTGAACCTGGAGGGAAAGCATGAGATCTGTAGGGGGCAGGGGTATTGTACATGGTCATCAGTGGTGCTGCCCATCCGTGCTGGTATCCTCTGAACCATCCCTAATTCCATCTACAAGGCTCCTTTACGGAACCACATGGTTCCCCCTGATGCCAGCCATTCTGCCTCCTCTGTGCCCGTCTGGGGTACATTTCTGAATTTCATCCTCAACGCTCATGGTCACCCCTACTTCACCCCCTAGGTCCTCGGGGCTTGCCTACCCTCACCAGCAGCCCCTGGCTGGTTCCTTGTCTATCTGTGAGCCTGCTTCGTGTGCTGGTCATCGCCACTGCACTTGAGGGCTTACTTCAGACCCTGGGGAAAAACTGGTCAGTGCACTTTTTGACTTTCTTAGTGGCCGAATCCCTATGCCAGGCACTGCCCAGCCTTTGGAGAGCCAGCATCTGAGGGGACCAGCTGCTCCTCTTCAGGGTCTGGGTGGGAGGAGGGACTTCTCTTTACACGTCACACAAAGGAGCCCATGGAGGGATACTTCCAGCTTCCAAAACACACACACACACACACACACACACACACACACACTGTCTCATATGCCCATAGTCGCCCAGAGATGTGCACAAACACACAACCACACACTTGGGCCTAAAAAGAGGCACGAACAGAGGAATTCTTACCAGCCAAACTCAATGCACATCAGAGTCCTTCGTTGTTTGAAAGACAATCTGGCTGATGAATATGCCAAGAAAACCCCAGGCCGCCAACACTCTGTCAGACCAGAGCTCTGCTAAGCAGAGGAGAAAGAAGGAATGGGAACCCCAGTGAGCATCTGCGTGCTCATGAGCACACACCCATCTTGTCCAGTGCTGGGCCTGAGGGAGTGCTCAGTGGAGGTTCACTCATCAGAAAGGAAACATGGCGGAGATGACCAAGCAATGGCCTGCTCCCAACACTGTCTCCTAATTCTGTGACCTTGGGCCCGTTCACTCTAGGAGTCATCAAGTATCTCCCACTTGGGGTTATTGTGAGGGTTTCAGCTAAGGAGATGACATCTACCTGATACCTAACGTGTTGGGCTGGCAACTGCTGGGGTCTCGGTACATTCTCCCTCTAGTCTATGCAGATTCCAGACCCTCCTCCTCTCCCGTCCGGTCACGACGATGAAGCAGGAATGGGGGCTCTCACTGCAATCACCTTGGGTGGCTCCACACTTACTCCTATTCTAACCCTTCTTCACCTCAGGCCACATTTAAGGGAAGGGCTTCCCATGCCAAAGCTTTTTGGTACCAGTTTATTCCTAGTCCTTCAAACCCACCTACAGAGACTCAAATCAGCCCTACCTCCTCCCCCCACCGCAGCGGGGAGAGGAATAAGAATAAGATATCATTATAAATAAGAATATTATTCTTATTTTCCACTTGCCAAGGGAAAAATTGATTGCTCTCACAGACCACCAAAGCTAGGTTTTCTAATTCAAGTTGGCACCTCCGTCTGTTAAAGAATTTGTGGTGAGTTTTTCGGGAGCTGAGCCAGACTACTCTGTGAGAAAGCCCACCCAGTCATGCAGTCAGAGTGTTCCTCCCTGAGCGCCAGCCAGGATACCTGAAAGGGCCTCTCCCCAGCCCTGGACCCACTCCCCTCCTTACCAGCACCCCAGCTAGGGCTTGGGCCAGCCTCCAACTTCCTCTCCCTTTTTAGCAGTCTTTGTCCAACAAATCTTCCCTCTAGTCTCGAGTCGAGGTTCCGTGCAGGCTACCTTGCTTTAAGTAACCTGTACGGTAGGAGAAAGATGGAGGCCGGTCCAGAGCTAGATGGGGAGGCAGCTGGAGTAGCAGACCGGGAACTGAAGATGTGTGACTCCTAGCATCCCTGCATCTGCAGTAAAGCTTCCTTCTAACGGCCCAGCCATTTGCAGCCGCTGGTGAAGGATCCTCAAGAGGAAGAAGCCTCTCACGGGGAACGAAAGAACACCCCTCTTCACGTGGAGGCCCTGCCGCTGAGCAGCCCACACGCCCCCCACCCAACCACCACTGCCAACCTGGGAACAGCTGGGCTCCATTGTATTAAGGAACCTGTCTCTCGGGAAAATAGGGCTCCTGGTGGCGGTCTTGGTCCTCTTATCTCAGAAACTCAGAGGTGCAAAACCTTGAGAATGTCACACAGGCCTAATTCCAAAACTTCACAAGAAAAACAGTAGATCAACAGCTTCGTTCCTCACACCCAGCTCTGGAAGACTCTTAACCATCTCCGGATAGCACGTCCACTCCCTCAACAAACAAAAAACGTGCCACCACCAAAGGTATTCGACAGCTGTATCTCTGAAGGCAATTTGCAAACCATTTTGGCCTGCGGTGTCACTGGCACTATGTTAGTCATGCAAGGGGCCCGCTTCCAAAGTAGCACTTGCCTAGGTGTGCCCACTGCGGTTTGCTTAACAGTGTTCACACCCCGCATAAAAGAGAGGTCCGTCAAATTCCCGGGGCTCTTCAGTGAATGGAGACTCAAAAACACAGCCCTGACGAATGAGCACTAGGGGATATTTAATAACTGGGAGCTTCTTGGAGTCTCCATAAATGCATTCTTGGTTTTATAGGAAGCACCATTTCCACCAATCCTGCCAGTGTCTGGTGCCTCCCTGCTATCAGAGATAATAAACATTTCTTGGGCACCAGGCATGAACCAAGTGTTCTAAAATCCATGTGACCCAATCCCTATCCTAGGAGATAAATTTTAAAGTTCTGGGAGCACCTGCTTTCACAGAGGCAGCATGCTAGTGGAGAAAAAGCACATAAACCTGGATTCAAAGTCTGTCCCTACCACTTACCTTGTGTGACCTTGGAGAAGTCCCCTCTCCCAGCCTCAGACACCTCATCTACATATGATACTATGGTGTCATAGTATCAACCTTTGCAAGATGATCGCAAAGAATATCAGACACCAAAGAGTTAGGAAGGGAGGCTTTTTTTGCCATCCAGCTATGTGCTGGTCGCTGGGTTAGGCACTGAGCTGTGAAGTAGACATTGTATTTGAATTCCCTGGCCCAGTGTCTGGCACATAGTGTGTGGCCAAAGTTATTAGCTTTTCCTTTTTCTGAAATGCAGCCTGACTGGTGAGTCTGGACCCTCTCCATGCAGGAGTGTGACCCCTCCTTTCTGACCCTGCTTCTCCTAGTTTGTGATTCCCATGGGGCCATTCTACCCTCTAGGGTATTTTTCAAAGGAAACATCCTTTGTAAAAATTAACCGTGTCTAGACTTGTGAATTAGCCCTCATAAACAAACCAGCCTCAGACCTCCAGCAGCCTCCACTGACTTTCTTTCTCTCCGACTCTTTACCCCCACTGCCCAGCCTGCTCTCTGAAGGATGCCTTTGTATTTCCTAGGGCCCCTCCCAACCCAGAATCCACCCCCAGCCCCAGGTGGAGAGCAGCACCCACTGTATGGCAATGGTAAGGACTTGCAGCAGGACCATGCGTGGCCTGTCGCTGAAGACCGAGAAAGGAGTCTGAGGGGGAACGAAGAGAAGGAAGCCCTGTGAGCCCCAAGTCTTGGGAACCAGTCATTGGGAAAGGAAGTAGATGGCTTCTGGGGAGAGTGTGAGGGGCCAGTATTCTGAAGCTGGTGGAGGGACAGGGAAGTAGGAGGGAAGGCCAGCCTCCAGAGGGAGGGTAAGGAGGGTTTAGACCAACGGTTGGCAAACTCTGGCTTTTGTAAAGAACATTATATATGTTCTTTTGTAAAGAATACTATATATGTATTGTGTATGGCTGTTTTCGCGCTACAGAGCTGAGACCGTATGGCCAGCAAAGCCTAAAATATTGACTCTTTTTTTATAGAAGAAGTTTGCCAACCCCCAGTTTAAACAAAGTCAGGGCTGGTGAAGCTGCTAGAATCTGCTATGGGGGCAGGCAGCTTCCACCAAGATGGATATCCCACAGTAATGACTGCCTCCCACTCCCAGTTACCACCATGACAGAGTCCCTGATTGGCTTCCCTCCAGAGGTGTCTTCAGGACACTGATGTCTTGAGGTGGGAGAGCAGGTGGGTCCTATTCAAGCCTCATTCCTTTTTTCAGTCACTTGGCCGAATGACAATGAGGAAGATGATATTTACTCTTCAGTGAATATAGTCCCAAAGGAGAGTGAAGGTGAGTGATCTCGAACTAAACTTGACATGTTTGCTAATGTAAAAGGGAAGTTTTGGGCCTGGCTTGAGGTAGTTGACTACCATTCACATTACCATTTTACCACAACAACTATTGTTATCATCTCTCTGACCACCACCACCTCCACCACCACCTCCATCACCACCACCAACACCAACACCACCAACAACACCACCAACACCACCACC